TCGGTTTTAATTTGTACCTATATATTAATTTCTTTTTGTGCCCATATTTTTTAAAGTTTATTTGTATTTGTGCCCATATATGTTTTTTGATTTGTACTTTTTATTTTGCTAAATGCACCCATGCTAATTATATGTACCCATTCATGTAAAACTTTTTAATCTTAAAATGTACTCATTCTTGAATATACCAATTTGTTATATGTAAAATGTACCCCTTTTTTTATATAAAATCTATTCAAATTTTTTCTAATCCCTTTTTAAACTTATATGGGTACATTCTTTTTTCTTTGATTTTAAAATGTATCCATGTCAATAATCGAAGAAATTTACTAATGTTATTAAGCCTAATATCTTTTTTTTTTTTTTTTGGTGATTTTGAAGAATGCACCCATGCTTTGATACAATAATTTTTTTGGTTAATTTTGATGAATGTACCCATGTTTATACACACACACACGCTATAGTATATTTATATTTTAATATTTTTAATCCCACAAATTATGGTTTTTTATTTAAAATCTCATTTATATAAACAACTAAAATTTCTAATTTTTAATTTAAATAGTAACGTACATAGAAATAAATTATCACATTAATTTCAAGGACCTTAATCAAAAATTAAAAACCAACAAGGTTTCAATCAAAGAAAATTCATAGCTAAGGACCGCATCCAAAGTCTTCCTATTATTTAATTTCTTTAATTTTTTTATCATTTATTCAGTTTTTAAATTTTGAATATTTAAATACTCAAACTAAAATATTATCTAGTAACTAATTACGATTTATGAAGAAAACAAAACCGATATAATCTAGTAACTACCTATTGTATAGGAAGAAAGATGCTTTATACCTACAAAGCAAATATAATCTACCTGCAAAACAAAAATAAACTACCTATTGTATTGGAAGAAAAATGCTGGGAACCTACATGACGGAACATAGAAATATAAATATGATACGATGTATCTCCATTAAAGGAACGAATTTAGAGGGAAGAACACAAAAATATCACCCATGAAAAGAAGAGACAAAAAAAGAGGAGGATTGATTCCATGATCTAACAGAGGGAATTGTTTGGAAGAAGGAAAGGAGGGGGGATGAAACGGACTGGGGGTTGAGGTGATTATATGCCTATAACTAATCCTACAATTAAGGGATTAGTTAAACCACAAATAATCCTATAATTAAGAAATTTTGTGTATTTGCTACAATTCATAAGCCTAAGGGGTAAATATGGTATAAACCACAAATAAGCATACGTGGAATCTCAATTATTGGACCTATTTCAATGAAGTGGACTAATCCTACTAATGGCTCACAAAATTGGATCTATATCAAGTTATCCCTTTTTATTTTTAACTTTTCACACATTTTTTTGTTAATTTTTGTTATTTGATATTTTTCAATTCATTCAATATAACATCCAGAAATTAAAAATGTGTGTAGAAGAACAAAAGAGGTGTGTGGATATAGCACTACCCTTCATATATTATAAGGAAAACTAATGAAAAGGGCTTGAAAATTTTGAGTTTTAACGATAAGGACAAAATAAAGGGTAAAGTGAATAGTACCAGGATTGACTTTTTAGTGTAAAAATATGATTTTTCGTTAAAGTGAACAGTACTACAGGTTTTTCGTTAAAACTCCTATTATTATATAGTATTCATCACCGAGCATCATTATTGGCAGCGGTGTGGTATTCATATTATACGAAAAATTATCTTATGGTGACGGGGCCTCCTCGACAAAGCACCAAGGCCTCTGCTTGATGACACGCATGGTAGCGTAGGCTATTTTAGTTGATCGAATTGTGGTTTTAAGCATGCGTGTGTAGATAATCGTGTTCAAGTGTTAATAAGTTAGTAAACTTATAATTTGAACTATTCATTTTTCATGTTCTCACTCATAGATCATTTTTGTAAATTTCACTAAAATTGAAAATCATTTAGCCATTTGATTATTATCATCAGGAACATTTCATTAGTTATCGACATCACAAGGTTGGTTTTTATTTTATTAGGTTGCACATAGATAATTAAACGGTTTCTGACTTAAGTAAACTTTTGTTGGAAACATATTTCAATATTACCTAAAAAGGATAAGTTCAAAATATGAGATAGTGTATATATTAAAAAAATTAAAATATTATGAGATAGGGTATATATCTACATTGGTATATGCAATTAAATCAGAATTGCAGTATGAAGGTTGATGTGGCAATGTTGCCTGCTTAATTGTCTTATAGACAAAGTTTTTCACTCAATGAGTTAGGCAAACCAAGTAGGCAATATATATATATATATATATGGGATAGGATCATATTTTACAAATATTTTTATACTTCTGTGTAGTCTTTAAATTTTATAACATCTTAGGGTTCTTATTTATTCATTACATAACATGAATGCTTATGTTGATTTTAACTAATATTAAAGATAAAATTAAAATTAAAAAAACATAAAACCTGGAAGAAAATTAAAATTAAGATTAAAAAAAAGGAAGAAACCCTAATCGTGAAAATAAGAAAGGAGGCTGCAACCTCTAACTCCGATCCCCAGGTCTACAACTTCCATGCTTGAACCTCCACTACATAAACAAAACAAAACCCTAAAATCTATTATTGTTCATATATGTAGGATGGTTAAATTAGGTTTTGGAATTTTTTTTAGTTTTGTCAATTCATGTATTTGATGGTTTTTCTACCCTTTTAGTTTTTCAAATAAAAAAAAACCAACTATCTCAATATGCTTTCCATATGTTTTGATTGTAAGTCGAAAGTATGTGTTGTGTTCCTACAAGGCTTTTGATATGTTGGTACCTATAAGAATGTATGATTTTGGTTCTAGATTATAATTTAGATATTGATTTTCTTACCTTGCTTCATTTTCATTTTTCAACAATCTTTTTTCTGTTACGCAAGCAAATCTCTAATGTTTCTAACGATCTTACTGTGGCAATAGGAGCATCAAGCTTTGCACTTATTTGGGTTAAAATTTTGATTATTTGAACACTGCAGACCTCATCGACAAAGAAGAGATTTTTTTTTTTTTTGTTATTAGGGTTCAATTTCTGATTATTTATGTCACATCTCGACCCGGGCTCCATCACATCCTAGGCTCAACTCTGCCATAGCACGATATTGTTTGCTTTGGGCCCCAACCGCACCCTCACGGTTTTGTTTCTAGGAACTCACATGAGAACTTCCCAGTGGATCACCCATCCTGGGATTACTCCAGCCCAAACTCGCTTAACTTCGGAGTTACGATAGAACCCAAAACCAGTGAATTCCCAAAAGGCCTTGTGCTATATGGAGGTGGGCATGTACATATAAGGCATAGAGGATCCTTTCCCCTGGGCGATGTGGGATCTAACAATCCACCCCCCTTAGGGGCCCGACGTCCTCGTTGGCACACTTCCGACCAAGGATTGGCTCTGATACCAAATTGTCACATCCCGATCCGGGCTCCACCACATCCTGGGCTCGACTCTGCCGTAGCACGATATTGTCCACTTTAGGCCTCAACCACGCCCTCATGGTTTAGGCTCCACATCCTAGGCTTGACTCCGCCGTAGCACGATATTGTCCGCTTTGGGCCCCAACCACGCCCTCATGGTTTTGTTTCTGGGAACTTACACGAGAACTTCCCAATGGGTCACCCATCCTGGGATTGCTCCAGCCCAAACTTGCTTAACTTCGGAGTTCCGATGGAACCCGAAGCCAGTGAGTTCCCAAAACGCCTTGTGCTATATGGAGGTGGGCATGTACATATAAGGCATAGAGGATCCTCTCCCTAGGTGATATGGGATCTAACAATTTATTTATTTATTTTATTCTATTAGATATTTGTTTTGATTTAGATTAGTATTTTCCTTATTAATTATGATCCACATCATCATTCAAGTCATTTAATGTTTAAAACTCTTCACATCACTCTTAATCTAGACCATTGAATGTTATAAAATCTAAAGGCTACACGGAAGCATAAAAGTGTTTGTAAAAGTATTTGTTCCTTGATCCTACCCTATATATATATATATATATATATATATTTTATATATATATTTTTTTAATTATTTCATCTATAACATCTTCTTTGAGCTTTTAGTTTTGTCATTTTCCTCCACATAGAGTATTTTACTATAAAAGGCAACATTACCTATTTTAGGAGAGTAGACAAAATTTGCAAACTCAATTTTCATACCGTTGGAGCTGGCTTTTGTCTACGTGGCTCGTCAAAATGAGTTTGCCTACTCAAATTACCTGTGTGATTAGTAGTTGAGGGTGAGCATTTAGATTAGTTAAACCAAGTTAGGTAATGATAATTATTATTTTTAGAAACTATATTACTATATAATTGTTTGAGGGTCAACCTGCTAATCTTAAATACTGATTGCTATATTGCCCACCCCGCCACCAAAAAAAGTCCAAAAAATGGAACTGTTGATCAAACTAGGAGACCAAGGTAGGACTGAGTTCAATTTCAGTCATCGAGTTTTTGTTTCTGTAGCATTTGGAGGACTTACCGGCTACCAATGCATTGAATAATTAAATTTGGAGTCTTTACAAAAATAAATAAACACAAAACGTATTGGCAAAGAATTGAACTGATGAAGTCCATGAAATTCTAGAACTTGTTCACATGTCAAATGAACTCACCTTGACCAAATTAAACTAATATTATTGCAAACTTCCAAGGATTTTATGCTTTATTAATGGTAAATTTTAATTCAGTATGTGGCTTCCTGAATTGTTACTACATGCTAATTAAACTAAACCCCAAGCTAACTAGGGTTACTCCTTAATCACCAGGGTTTAAACGATAGTACAAATTACGCTAATATAGTCGATAATGATTGCCTTGGTGATGGAAGCACAATAATAAAAATTTAGAAAAAAAATAAAGTAATATTAACACTAGCTAATAGTACCATTAAAGCAAGAAAATAATGTGAGAGGGGAAGAAAAAAAGGAGCTAAAGCACTTTCATTGGTCCCATATCATGTCTCCTCACTAGCTAGCGCCCCTGATGTGATCTCTTGTTCAAAATTATTATTATTTTCTTTTTCTTCTCTCCCACTGCAAATTTGTTTTCTTCTCCAGCGAAATTCCTTTCCACCTTCTCTCATACTCGAAGAAATAGTAAAAAAACAAAACAAAATTATCACTCGCCGGGATGTCTACCAACAAAGGAAAAGATATAGCGGAAGGATCGTCGTCTGCTTCTGCTACTACTACTGATCATCAACAACAGAAGCAGACTTCGCAGCCGCCGACTCAGCTGAGCCGGTACGAGTCACAGAAGAGGAGAGATTGGAATACTTTTGGGCAGTACTTGAGGAACCAGAGGCCGCCAGTAGCTCTTTCACAGAGTAACTCCAATCATGTGCTTGATTTCCTAAGGTACCTGGACCAATTTGGAAAGACCAAGGTGCACGCTCAAGGATGTGTGTTTTTTGGGCAACCTGAGCCTCCTGGCCCTTGCACCTGTCCGCTAAGACAAGCTTGGGGCAGCCTTGATGCACTGATCGGACGGCTGAGAGCTGCTTATGAAGAAAATGGTGGGTTGCCAGAAACAAACCCATTTGCAAGTGGGGCTATAAGAGTCTATCTGCGTGAGGTGAGGGATTCTCAAGCCAAGGCTCGGGGAATTCCGTACAAGAAGAAGAAAAAGAAGAGAAATCTAATGAAGGCAAATCTTGACCATAATCCCAACATCTCCATGCAGCAATCTTGAATCTCGACCGATCGCCCTTCTTTCTCCACAAAATGGTAATTTCATATGTTGCTATTTATAGTATAGTAGAATCTATAGATGGATTGCTTTTGATTTGGCTATATATAACAGCATGAAATTCAGCTTCATGAATTATATAACCAGCTGAATTCTGGGTTTTTGTCAATTATGTTACATGAAATTTTCAGTCCCTGATTGTTTCGATAACAAAATTTCAGCCAATGTATAATAGGTAAAGAGAGAAAATAAGTATGCTAAAGGACGTATATATGCATCTTCAAATCGTAGCGATCTAGCGATCTCAATTCAGTAATTCGTTATAAAACCCTACGGCATGAATATTTTAAACCCTAATTGCAGAGCAGCTAGCTAGTTGCTTAACTTTATTGTTAAGAGAAAAGACATAATAACAGCACCTTAATTAGTAACTTTAACTTAATTATTTTCTTTGACAGACATTTGAAAGTTGAAACAACCTTAGTATCTCTCTCTCTCTCTCTCTCTCTCTCTCTCTCTCTCTCTCTCTCATGCAAAATTATGGGTTTTTGTGGGTTTTTCAAAAAATATATATAATATTTTCATAAATATGTTTTTGCCTTTTTGTATTCATGGCCCTTTTGGGATTCTGCACGATCTTGTGCTCGCCATGAATGGACACAAACAGTATCACTGTTGACATTCTTACTCTCATATATATATATATATATATATATATAATGTTTTTGTCATAATCTTGATGCAATTTTATGATGAGAGATCTAGATGGGGGCAGTGCGTACGTAGGATATATAGATCAAATGCTTATCTATCTCCTGGGTGTTCATGACACATTAGCCATTAATTACTAAGATCTCATGTACCATTAACACTAAATCTTTTCAAGCTGCACAAGATTTGTCTTGACCTGACATTAAATAATTTACATTGCTTTTTCTTCCCTTCTTTATATTCACTATGATGGAATGTCATTATCTTGGTTAATTATTCAGTATGCAATGAATTGACCTCTGCACCTGAACCAATTTGTCTTTTGCCTAAATTGGATGGGATTAATGCTAGCGGTAACTGCTTAATGGCTTGATTAGTTTTCGATAAAAACATTGTACGTATTACGTGTTGTTTGGATTACTACGTACATATGATTAAACATACTAATCCAAAATATTCGTTTTGTCCAAATACAAAATTAAAATTGAATTACTACGTATATCGAAATAATGATCAGTGTGTGTGTGTGTGTGTAGTTTAAGGAATGCTAAGGGAATTCTTTCAAAAGTGGGACTCATCATAGACTTTGTCAAATCATGTTTTTGGCACAATATTTGTTGGAACAAGAATTGACGTCTGTGAGGTGATAGAGAGTTCATGGAGAGTCACACTTTGAGAGAGTCTCCTTATCATTATCTATATAGTTGATCACAACTGCTTCTGTAATAATGTCCTAATTAATAAGAAAACATTTAGTTCCAAAATAAGAAAACAAGTTTAATATGAAGAGAGTTGAGGTTCCACCATAAAAACAATTGACAATATAGGGAGTAGCCCAACCTCTTAATTATAAGCCCTTGCAAGGTTTTTCCTTTCACCAATATGAGACTCTTCTATCTTCACATCCTCACACGCCCCTCAAGTGTGGGGATTTTCAAGCCAAATACGACGTGGACAACACGAATTGGGTGACGTGAAGCACATGTGGCCGTTGGGCTTCACACATGGGTCAACCAGCTCTAATACCGTGAAGAAAGTTGAGGTTCCACCATAAAACCAATTGGCAATATGGAAAGTAGTTCAACCTCTTATAAGCCTTGCAAACTTTCTCCTTTCACCAATGTGGAACTATTTTACCTTCACATCCTCACATAATCTGCTTACATATATTTTGTTAAAATGCATTAACTTGACCATTTACAATTTAATCTACGCCAAGTGTTTTAATTAATCTAATATATTAATTCTTTGAACTCCTATATCCTCATACTAATTTCAGGCGCCAAATAGATTTCCACCCCGAATGCACCAGGAAAGCTTTGGAGCCCCCCTCTGGACAGCAGCATTCAACTCCATGCCATCAAGTCCTTTTGTACTATTTTCTTTCGCATTTACTTGTTATTTTATGAGGATTGAAACATGAAGGCGGTGATGCATGAAGCTGAATTGAGTTCATTAGTAAGTTCTCTCTATGGGCTCTATATTGCTGCAAAAGTAGTATTATATTGTTCCTAATTTTGAATTATGCTGGTTGAGAATTTTACATATATATGGAATTATTGTGGTTTCTATGAATTTTTATATATACCAACTCTATGATCAACCATCCACATTTGAATGCTAATCAAATGAAAATTGAGCTTCTTGTTTGTTCAAAAGATTGATTTCTTCTTCAGACTCTTAACAGATTGTGTGTCGCTAGATCATATATTCGTCTTTTATTTACAATTAACCCATAGTCCTTTGTTTTCCCTAGGCATCTAGGGTTTTTCTATGCTAAGGATACATGCGTCCTTACGTAATGAAAATTGAGACTTAGGCTCATCAGGAAGACGGAGTTCTCTTCTAACTCGTACCCTTTTGATCGGTGGATTCAGATAGGTGAAGAGTGCTTCATGCTCTCTACTATTCTCCTTTAGTGCATTAATCCAACTTGTTTATCTAACTGTGTATTGGCGTGGCCTCTTCACATCTAGGGATGGCCATTAGGTACCCAAAATAACAAATGGGTATCTTGATACTTGTTTTAGTACTTCATCGCGAGCCAAAGGAAGGGGTACCGGTGAGTCTGGTTACACAATGAGTACTGACAACTGTGACATCTGAGACGTAGGAGATGTTGATGATGACTGGCTCCATTAGAGATTTGGGTCACTGATGGCTGGTTTCCCATCCTTATGGGCATAATTACATTGAAGCAACATTTATCAGTTCTTGAAGACCTCGGAGATATTGATGACGAGATGAATGACTTAAGGATAGAGATGTGCATCAATTCCTACAACATGATTTAGTTGCTAGAATAATGCTATTTGGATTTGATAACATTGTTGACCACCTCTCTAATAGATATCGACCCTACTTATAAAACTCATTAATATAATAATAGATATCAACCATACTTACAAAATTCACTAATATAATAACGTGGTCAGGAGAGTGGTTACTAAATGAACTCCAAATATCAGCACCCTATTTGCTAACTCATACTTCATATATGAACCGTGTTGAGACATCCAAGTCTATTTTATATATATATGCATGCCCTCATATCATGTAGCGCATGTACTAATGAAGGTTCATGATGCCGTTACTATTGACGCTAAAAATATCATCATGCACTCCTTAGTGAAGATCGGATTAGACGATTGGCTAAAAAAAATCATCATGCACTCCTTCTCAGTGAAGATCGAATTGGATGATCGGGCTGAGGGTTGCCCTTTCTTTCCTTCACTCTCCGTTCCCTAAAATGAAACCTGAGTCATCAAAGCCTTTCTCACTCGACTAGACCAATCACCATGTATGACTATTTGAATAACATTATTAATTAATTAGTGTCTTTTACTTTTGCCGTGCACATTGACGGTTGCTTCATACCAACTAGGCAACTATATGTGCCTCCTCATTCACTGAAGGGTTTTTTGCTTCATACAAAACATGGATTAGCAACACAACATGATCGTTATCATATCGAATATCTCACCAAGCTTCTTCTTCATGTGTGTGTACATGCACAATAGAACATTAATTTGTACAAAACTTCTTGAAACAAATAATTGAATAGATTTTGAGAAACTAGATCATCATTTCGTCATGGACGTGAGAATATCATATACAAAACCCTCCAAGTCCATGGTAAAATGACATTAGTCTCTCAAATTGTCATGTCTTAAAAGAGTTTTGTGCAATGTTCTATCGCCTATGCCTACTTGTGCTTTAGATCATGTATTGAAATTTCTGCACATGTGTGTGTGTGTGTGTGTGTGTGTTTTCTGATCTAGTCATCCATCTGAACATCTCGTAAAGCCTTTCGGTATGGTTGTCAACGTTTCATTTCCTTTTTGATGAGTGATGAAATTGTACAGATTCTCTACACTCATGAGTGAGGGGATTACTTAATATATCCCAGCTTAATTTAGTGACTTTTATTAAGACACCACTATTTTCCTGTTATTTTTCTAGTCACATCCTCTTCAAACAATAATTGCAACTCCCACAAGCTTAAAGTCACAACCTCTTTGAGATGGTTGTTTTACAAATGAAAGGAATGAGCTCTCTGAGACCACTTCAGGTTAGTGACGATTTCCATTAGGAGTTCTCTTCTATCTCGTACCCTTTTGATTGGTGGATTCAGATAGGTGAAGAGTGCTTCTTGCTCTCTACTATTGTCCTTTAGTGTATTCCAATCTAGTTGTGTATTTGTGCGGCCTCCTCACATCTACGGATGGCCATTAGGTAGCAAACGGGTATCTTGATACTTGTTTGCGTGCATCACGAGTCAAAGGAAGGTGTACCGGTGAGTCTGGTTTCACAATGAGTACTGACAACTGTGAAATCTGATACATAGTAGATGTTGATGATGACTGGTTCCATTAGAGCTCTTGGTCATTGATGGCTGGTTCTCATCTTTATGGGCATAATTATATTGAAGCAACATCAGTTCTTGAAGACCTCGGAGATATTGATGATGAGATGAATGACTTGAGGATAGAGATATGCATCAATTCCTGCAACATGATTTATCTCAAATGCTTTGAACTTTTAGAGCATGTTTTCTGCATCATGGATCATTAAAGGTATTGAACGACATAAGAAATCCATGGTCAAAATTCAGTAATTTACAATTACACGTCCATATATTAGTAGAATAATGCTATTTAGATTTGACAACATTGTTGGTCACATCTTTAATAGATATCGACGCTACTTATGTATATGAAATCCACTAATATTAATAACGTGGTCAGCAAGGTGGTTAGTAAATAAAGTCCAAATATCAGTACCCTATTTGCTAAGCTTATACTTCAATGAACCGAGTTGTGGCATCTATTTTCTATATGTGCATTCCCTCATATGATGTAGTGCATGTACTAATGAAATTCATAATACTGTTATTATTGACATTAAAAATGTCATCATACATTCCTTCTCAGTGAAGATCGAATTAGATGATCGGGCCGAGGGCTGCCCTCTCTTTCCTTCACTCTCCATTCCCTAATATGAGCTTCTTCTTCATGTGTGTACATGCACAATAGAATATTAATTTGCACAAAACTTTTTGAGACAAATAATTGTACAAATTTTGAGAAACTAGAGTCATTTCATCATGGGCGTTAGAATATCATGCACAAAACCCTCCAAGTCCATGGTAAAATTAATGACAGTAGTCTCTCAAATTACATCATGTCTTTCAAGGAGTGTTGTGCAATGTTCTTTCGTCTACGACGACTTGTGCTTGAGATCATGTACTGAAATTTCTGTATACATACATACATATATATGTTTTCTGATCTAGTCATCCATTCCAACATCTCGTAAAGCCTTCCGCCTTGGTTGCCAACGTTTCATTTCCTTTGATGAGCGATGAAACTGTACGGATTCTCCAACACTCATGAGTGAGGGGATTACTTAATATATCCCACCTTAATGAGTGACTTTTATTAAGACACCACTATTTTCTTTTCCAGTTACATCCTCTTCAAACAAGAATTTGCAACTCCCACAAGCTTAAAGTCACAACTTTTTTGAGATGGTTGTTTTACAAATGAAAGGATGATCGAACTCCAAGAGAGGTTAGTGTCATTATTTTAGACAAACCCTAGATCAAATAGAGATTACATAGATAATTAATAGTCTAAATATGATTGACAATCTAATAACACAACATAGTCGAATCATTATACAAGAGAGAACACTTTTTTTCATGTGTGTAAGTATATCTACTCGTCTACTTCTTAGTGTAAATAACTAATACCGTAAATATTTAAAAAAATGTATATTACGTATATTATCTATGCAAATCACTCTCTTTAATTATACTCCTAGCAAATATTCCCTTGATTGTTGGTGATAAAATTTGATAAGTGTAGGCCATATATATATATATATATATGACATCTAAATTCTAATTAACCTATTAATCGGATTTAAAAAATTAGCTAGGGAAACTCAAACAAATAGATCACCAAAACCTAAGTAGTATATACCAGGAGGAAAAGGATCGGGAATCCTAAAGATTTCGTGATCGCGATCATTCATAATCGTACATTGTGTGGTCAGTTTTTATTAGATGCTATTTATATTTAGTTTTAAATTTTAAATTTTAAAATAATTTCTAACCATATAATATACGATAAACAATCACGATTATCAGATCTCTAGAATCTTCAGGAAAATGATCCGGCCGGGATCCAGGTTGCGTGTCTTTCCATGCAGATTGCAGAGTCACACATTCAATAGTCTGTACGTAGGCAACAGGCATCCCATGAGGGTGATGCCAGAACCTGTCATCTCATCTCCCATCACCACGTAGGTTGTATCCTAAAGTGAGAGAGTGGAAAATCTTTGCAGATCGCCACCTCACCTCAAAGTGCGTCGATCCAACGAGGAAAAGGTTTGGACCACAAAACCGACACACCACCAACTAGCTAGGGTTTTTGTAAATTAAAAATAGTAATGTACAAAACAATACTATTGACTTAGTGATCTGGATATCAACTTCAAAAGATCAACCAATTATTTGTAAATCCATTGCCATTCATCCTGACACAGGATTAAGATAATCAGGGCTCCCCAAGTGGGAACATAATTATTCAATAATTTTCACTCATCAACTTTATTAACACTATATTTAAAGAGATAGATGCGTGATACTATTTTTTTTTTTTACATTTTTTGACATATTTTTATGAGATTCATTTTATTAGGGGTGGGTTGGAAAAACCGAAAACCGAAAAAAACCGGACCGAAACAGAAAAAACCGAAAAAAAAAAAAAACCGAACCGAACCGAATAGTGTCTGGTTCGGTTTCGGTTTCTGGGGCTCAGAAACCGAACCGAACCGAACCGAACCGAAGTATTCAAAACGACATCGTTTTATGCCTAATTCTAAAACGCCACCGTTTTATGCCTAATTCTAAAACGTAAAACCTAAACCTAGGGTCTTCTTCATCCGCTCTCAGTCTCTCCGTGTAAAGACCTCTTCTTTGCTTTCCCCAGTTAAAGACTGCGATTCGCCACTGAGCTCCGAGTTCAGGGCTCTGTCCCTCTACGGCGGTAGAAATGGAGTCTCCACCTCCTCGGCTATGGCCACGGAGGCTCAGCTCTCGACCCAAGACGACAAATTGAAGGATGCCCAGATGGAGGTAGCTGATAAGCCTGAGAAAGTCGTGCTTCCAACCAACGGGTCCTCCGAAAGCCTCATCAGAATTCGACACACGGTATTTATTGAAATTTCATTGCATTGGATTGGATTTATGATTGTGTTATGTTAAATTGAAGTAGGAGGTGCTTTCCTGTTGAATTTTTTGAATTTTTAGATTCGTAGGAGCTTCCCCTTTTTGAAAGTTTGATGCTTTTAATCAACCATTTTCAATTCTACGTTACTAATTGTCACCTGATTCTGTTGTGAAGAATGAGGAAGTGAGGATGAAGAAAATAAGAACATAACTTTTCGGTAATTTGAAATTTGATCGAATAGGACATGGAAAAATGGGTGTACAGCAGTAGATAAGCTGGGAAAATTTTCATCCTGTTTTTGGGAATGTGAGAAGATACATGGGTTTTTGTATTTTGATAAAGTGTTGAGGTCGAGCTATGTTCATATTTTTCTGAATTTCCTTGTAGTTTGATATTAATGGCGCCTTTTCTGCTGTTATGATGATGAACTATTTATATGTGTTTGACTGCAGTGTGCACACGTGATGGCCATGGCTGTTCAGAAGCTCTTCCCGGATGCAAAAGTGACAATTGGTCCGTGGATAGAAAATGGGTTCTATTATGATTTTGATACGGAGCCTTTGACGGACAAAGAGTTGAAGAGAATCAAGGAGATGGTAAGTGGAATTTCTGTATAAGTTATCATGTTTGTATCAAAGTTTTGAAACCATGAAACTATTGAAAACTATTCATGAGCATTTATTTTGTGATATGTAGGATCGCATCATTGGTAGAAACTTACCACTCATAAGAGAAGAAGTTTCAAGAGATGAAGCTCACAAAAGAATAACTGCTCTCAACGAAACATACAAATTGGAAATTTTGGATAGTATTAAAGAAGATCCCATTACCATATATCATATTGGTAAGGGTTTCACTATTTTCAGGCTCAATATAGTATGGAAGGTGATGATTTAATGTGCAGGAACTGTGCGTAAATGATATTTTTATTAGCTACACAAGTGAAATGTACAATGTTTGTCTTGAGTCTTAAGATTGAAATTTAAAGGAATAAAAAGAGAGGGCAGGGGTGTGCTCAGGGGAAACAATGTGTTGGTTCTTTAGTGTTTATTACAGATTTAGATTTTAGGGGGGGACTAAAGACATGATATTCTAGTTGGAACTTAGAAGAGAAACTTTGTCATTGTTAGTGTTGAATATGGTTCTAGTTTGAAGAGTACCACTTCAATATTGTTGTAAATTATACTTGTAGGTTTTCATTGGATGACTATGAAAGTGACTTTGATGTCAACTTCATATTCCAATTTTTTTTCAATTTTGGATTAATAAATAAAAAAAACAAATAACCAAACCGACAAGAATCCGAACGAATCAATCGAACTAGAAAACCGAAAAAAATGAGAACGAACTATGTTAAAAAAATATACTTTATAATGTTTTCAATGATCCAAACATTTATCTTTTAAGCATCATTTAAAGATCATGTCTACTAAAAATCATCAAAATTTGAAATCATATGACCGTTAGATTAAGAGTTTAGAGTTTCTTTGTAGAACCATATTCGTCTATGTTCTTCACTATAAATGAATGTCTTAAACACTTAATGGTTTTGGATTTGTCAAAATTTTTAGATGATATATAAATGATGCTCTAAAAGATAGACGGTTTTGATCGGTATAAAACATTACGGAGTAAACTCCACAAAAATGTGTCAAAAATTGTGTTAAAAAAAGCGATGCTACTCCATATTTGATACCCAACTTTGTCCCCTTTATTAACTTTGTTGTTCATAATTAAATTTAACATATTAAAATTAATATATAACCCTTTTTACATACATTCAGTAAATTCTCTCTTTCAATTTTTTTATTTTTTTTAAAGAACTTTTATAACATGAATACACTTCATCACGGCATTATGTTACAATCGCACACTGTATCACTGAGACAAAATTGTGGCTTTTACCCTTATCACATAAGTTGTTCTCCTCAAATTTTCAATTGCTAGGTCCCAAAAATAATCTGGGTGGTCCACTGGGGTGTTACGAGAAAAAAAATTTTAATTGATAGAAATAAGAAGTTTATCAGGCAACTAAGCACCTAATCGAAGATTAGCACTATCTTGCATCCAAAAACGGAAAAAATCAAATGCGCGCTTAGAAGAATAGAGAAATGTTCACGAGAGAGAGAGAGGGAGAGAGAGAGAGAAACATATCAACAAGATGAAATGCAAAACCTGATGAACTTTTCATTGCTTAATGATGATGCATTTGTGAACACGGAAATTTCTTGAAACAAGAACAAGAATACGTGTACAAAATAATATTTTTGTGTTTAATGATTTTGGGGTTACAACCTCTTTGTAATTTGATCTTCTGATTCTATCTTCGTAGGATGTAGGTTTGTGGATGAGTTGTTGATCCAAAAGGCCGTCGGGGCTTGATCTATGGATGAACAGTTGATGAATGGATCTTCAAGGGGCGTTGGGCTTGATCTTGAAGAATGGATGTATGGGTTTGTTGAGGTTGTTGATCCAAAGGGCCGTTGGGGCTTGATCTTAGGATGAACGGATGATGAATGATGAACACTTTCTTCAAGGGGCCGTCGGGGCTTGATCTTGAGTTGGTGGGAGTTCTTCAAGGGCCGTTGATGCTTGATCTTGAAGGAGGATTTGACGAAGAACGAAGAGTGCTTTCTTGATCCTTCGGGATTTTCTTGAGAGCTTTAGAACTTTAAGGCTTCAAGGTTTTGGTGTGTTTGTGGGGAGTATTCTCTTCCATTTTGGGAGTAGAGAAATGTATTTGTGAATTGGTGTTCCCTTCCTCTTGATGGAGAAGCCTATTTATAGGCTTTGAGAGTGAATCACCACCATTCATTTTTTTGGTGAAGTGAGTGGATGATGTAGGTAAAGTGAATGGAGGTTGTAGGTGAAGTGAGTGAAGGTTGTAGGTGAAGTAAGTGGATGATGTAGGTGAAATGAGTGGAGGTTGTAGGTAAGGTAAATGGATGATGTAGGTGAAATGAGTGGAGGTTGTTGGTGAGGTGAGAGAATGATATAGGTGAAATAAGTGTTGTATTGGTTAACATTTATTTCACTGAAATTTCGATGTCTACAGCATTACAGTAGCCTTGTCTATATATTGAGCTCTCAGCTTCCTAAACAAACTGCTAACAGAAAATACTGACAGACTTCGAATAAGATGACTACAACGGATGGCACGTAGACGACGCATATTCTAACAAAGAACATTACAACATACTGGTTTTGTATGACGAAAGAGAATGGAGAACGATTACTTGTTCAAATCGGTAGAATTAATGGATCAGCACTCTGTCAATATATGCAAATGTAGATAGTAGGAGAAATGATAGCTAAAACTAACTTCTTCCAACAAAAAGAAATTCATTTATTCATACCAGATATCGTTGTTACAAAAAGAATTGAATCTGACACGTAAGCTCTCCTTTCAACACGGTCAGAACCTTAGAGCTCCGATGAACCCTCAACTACATGCGGAAAGAGAGACCAAGCATGCTGCTGCAAGAATATGCTGTGAACTCTCAACCGAAAGCCAGCTTGTGAAATAAAATTTGATGAGTCTACACTACCAATTCCCTCGGTGTTTGTGTTTCAAGAAATGTGTCATAATTCAAGCTTCTTGCAACTTCGAAGAAATGTTTAACTGCTTCTTCAGGTGTCCGTACAAGAACACCATGCCCTAGATTGAGAATGTGTCCCCTTGGCCCAGCAGACCTCACCACCCTGAAAATATTGCGTTAATTTCAGAATTATACACAATCCAGAACTGAAACCAAACCACAAAAGATCAAAACACTAAAATCCCTTTGACGATCCATATGGAATAAAGTAGACGTTAACAAATCGTTTAAAGAAACTTTTATTTAATTGAACATCTGAGCCAGTAAATGTTTAAGGTAAGGATTAAATTCCAACCAGTTCCCAAGTGCTAAGCTAGTTATTTTTCTTTCTGTTTAGTTTTAGGTGGGCCTATGGACTCCCTGCCATGCCCCTCCCCTTTCCTCTTACTAGCACAAGCGTGATATACTACCCAAATGTTAGTTTTAGACATAGAAGTTGGAGAATCCAATCTGGTACAAATTTAGGCAATTGTCTACAACTGATCTCACTACCCATTTGTTTTCTACCATCACATAAACCAATGTTCCACACATGTCCAAGTTCATATTGAGGTAAAGTTTTGAATAAAATTAGTTGCAAGTTTTGAGATGTTCCCATAACAAACCTTTGAATTTCTTCGGTCAAGGAAGGAAGAGGAGAAAATAGGTAAGCAGGATCCACATTTCCCTGTACACTGATCTCACTACCCAACCGTTTTCTACCATCAGCTATGTCTACCGTCCAATCGAGCCCAATCACGTCTACACCAGTTCCTTTCATGCGCTCAAGAATGCCACCATTCCCATTAATGTAGAGAACAAGTGGTGTTTTAGGGCATCTTTTCCTTACTGAAGTCACGATCTGCAATTTAAGAACAGTAACGTGTGAGCAGAAGGAAAAGGAAGCAACTTATATGTACCTATAAAGAAAATCACACGAGCAATTTCCATATGCACCTGTGTGAAAAGGATTCCATTCAGGAAAATACATATGTGACACTTAATAACATGTGTCCCTACTCCTTATGCATATGTCTCCTCCCTCACCTCTTGAATATAAGGCTTCGACCAGCTATCCCACATGGCTGGTGGTAGTTGCCCACCCCATGAATCAAATATTTGTATGCAATGTGCCCCTGCTTCTACTTGGAAAACAATATAGTCTGATATTGCCTGAGTCAAATGCGAAAGAAGAGCCCTCAATACATGTGGTGATGTATGGCACATGCTCTTTATTTTTGTATACGTGGAAGTTGAACCCCCTTCTACTATGTATGTAGCAATCGTCCATGGTGCCCCTACGAAACCCAAAACAGCAGCATGCCCACCAACCTGAATGAAAGAATAACTGAGAGAAGCATGTGTACGAACATTGAAAATATAGGAAGACATGTAATGATCATTCACAATCTAATAAAGTCGATCTTCTTTTTCAAGCATGTAATAAGTGTCTAATAGCTACCTCCCGCCGCAGTATCTTTAAGGATTCCCCCACAAAGTGTAGTTTGTCCAAGTCAATCGGATGCAAGGTCTTCAAGCCCTCTTCAGAGACGATGGGTGACTGAATAACAGGGACCCCTGACGTCCTCTATGTCAAAGGGAACACCAAATGCAGGTAGAGGCGTAAGTATGTCAGAGAAAATAATCACTCCATCAGGACGGAAAGCTTCCCAAGGCTGCAAAGAAATTTCCACAATGAGGTCAGTTGTCTCTGACCTCTCTCTGAACGATGGATATTTCTCTGCAAGCTTTCTGTAAACAGCCATATACCTTCCTGCTTGGCGCATCATCCATGCTGGAGGCCGACTTACAGGATCTCCTCTTGCAGCCTTAACCAAGAGTGGATCTGGGAGCAGGAAGTGGGGAGTTTAAAAACAAAACAAAAAATGAAAACATTTTATATAACAATGAAACCAAATCTTCAGAGAAGAGTTCCTAAAATTAAACATCAAACGAGAGAAAATATTACAGGACACGGCTCAACATTATTTGTTGCAACTATTAGTATGCATTAGCAAATATAACAGCTAACACATATTCTAGGGCAGCTTCAATACTGATGGACTTTTAGGGCAGCTTCAATATCGATGGACTTTTCTTTTCACCACATTACAGGGATAGTCTTAGAGCTCTCACAACATCACAGATGCATGACCAAGAGTGTCTTCAAAAACCTTTCTTTGATCCTTTCATCAGTCGGTCCTAAATCGACCCTCTAGAGACTCTATTCTTTTAAATTCATCTTCTTTTTCGGTATCAACACACATTTATAACTTCATATGTTGAACACAAAACACCTTACATCTTCGATGACAAAATAGAAGCAACTAATCAGAATCTGGGTACTGAGAATTAAATTACTCTTTTTTTCTTATATTCCCAATGGAAATTACTCATTGACTCACAAAGAAAACCAAAAATCAACAATAACCCATATCACATAATATAAAAAAGATCCCTAAAAACCAACCAAACAATTAGACTTAAAAAAAAAAAAAAGAACATATATTTGCAAAGTTGGGGGGAAAAGAAGCATACCAGAAGAGGAAGAGCATGTTACAGAAACCTTTCTGTGGGGGCATTTTCTTTTGGAAGGAGCCGAGAATCCAGTGAGAGCAGTAGAAGTAGAAGTTGCCCCTGACCGCACGAACAAGCTCGATGACTTCCATCCCAGAGAGCTGTTCACACTGCACATACCAAATTTCAGTTTTAAGGATGCCCCAAGTGGCCCAAATGCCAAATTTAAAGTCAGAATTGAAGTTCAAGAAGCAATGGAGAGAGAGAGAGATTGCCTGGCCGGAGCGGATAAACCCATTTCGGATGGATGGAGAGAGAGAGAGAGTGAGGGAGAGAGAAAGAGAGATGAAGAGAGACGGGACAACGGTAAAGTGGACGATTTATATTACATTGGGCTCTGCCATGAGGCCCTATTTGACCAAAAAATATACAGGAAGGCCCAAGATAAAAGTAAAACACGAGCTAAGACGAGTCCCCTTGTTTTGACTTGCCGTGATTTGCTTTCAAAATTTTGTACCATACGAGTTTTGGCATATCTACGTAGAAAAGAATTTTATGGCGAATAATTTAGCGATCTGTAATCTTGATTTAGACTTGAGTAATTTTTATTTTGATTCTCCTTCTTCTTGTTCAGTTAGTTTTATTTGTGAGAATCAACTTGAGATGTTCCCGTCTAGATTTATTATTGCGTAAGTTTGTTTGGGCTCTTGTTTTTAGCCTCCTTTGTTTTTTCAACCAAAAAGAAAACCTTTTGAATAGAGAAAATTTGAAATTGTGATCCAAATAGTGTTTTAAATTGCGGTTAGTAACACTAATTTTATGTATCCATATTCCACATTCATATGCACTCTCTAATTAAGAGTTGAGTTAAAAGATCGCATGTGTATTCAAAAAATACAAACGTGGTTATCGATTTCGGAATGCTATAATATTTTAACTAGATCGTTCTCTCACGTGCCTATATGACAAAAACAGCCTCGTAGCTTTTCTCATATATGTTCGATATTTTGTAGCACTGAATATCGTTGAACACCGTGGGTTACGACACGAAACAGCAGGGCCAGATCAACCCGGCAAGACGATCGGAGGATCGCTTACCGTGGAGGGAGTTTGCATTAAAGAAACGAACTGCACACAGGTGGAGCTATTGTCAGCGTTTAAAAATGTTGTTGAATACCTTAATTTCTACATCTGTAAGAGGAGAAATCTATGGCGCGAATTCGTATGGCGTGCATTTGCATCTTGAAATGTTCGTCTTTGCGTATGAGGATTTGGAATAATGCACAGTTAGATCCATTCCTGTGCCATACGAATTCACACCATAGAAATCAGTGGTTCTCATTTTCCGGCATAAACGTCGATTATATTGACACATCCACCAAAGATAAGATTGAGTACATAATACATTTTTATTTAAGGTAGCAACAAACAGGAACCCTCCTTAAATTTTACGGGAGGAGTCCTTTTCTGTATCACCTGAAGATACATCGATACGAGTAAGCTAGGCACCGTCGTTGTTCTCAAGTAAATCGGGGACCAGGAGAGTTCCTTTGAGCACCCAAAGGCCGGAGTCTGCTCAAGCCAAAATCCACATTAGACTGCGGTTTTTTGGTGCATGTAAACCCCACCTTATCGTAGGATATGTTGTCGTCTGAGCTGCTTATATTTCTGAAGTAACAGGATTTGCCACCATCGAATCTATACACTTGCTGTGTACTCCCCAGTCCGCTAACTACGGACCTGTTCTTTATAACGATAGTACCCTCGGCATTCTGCAGATTGCTGAGAGAGCTGTTGGAGAATCGGGAATCAGCACTTGCAGACTTCTTCTTGATAAATCCCAGTTCGACTGTTTGTAATGTACTTATATGTTTCTTTTGCTTGTTCCAACAAGTCAATGTACAAGTAAAGAGGAAATTTTTTGTTTGATGACATTGAGTGGATAATGGAGGATGGCAGCCTGATATGAACTGTATCGTTGAAATGGATGGTCTGATTCACTATCTGCGTATTGCCATCATTCTTCATGACCATTGTATTACTGTAATGGAGATCTTGAATTGCATCAGTTGTGATATTCCCATAGGAGGACTTCACCCATCCAGTCGATGACACAGACCTGCCGACCCTTGTCAAAAATGTGCCATTTAAATCCCTTGAAATCCAAAACCAATGAAACAACAAGGGGCAAGCTACTATGCTTCGAAAGCTCTCCTTCAGTTTTCGTGCTCTGCTTGTCCAACCAAAGATGCAAATTCGCGTCAAGGAGCCAAACATTCGAGGCATTTGTAACACTAAAACCAAACTTGTGGCTCTTCCCATCCAATATCTTCCCTAAAAAGGGCGTGATTTCAATATCATAAGAAGGGAGATTGTACGAGCCAATCGCAGTAATAGGACTCCACAGGAGGGGATTGAACCCTCCAGTGAAAATTACAGTAAAAGGCCAGACTGCACCAACAACCTCACCATCTAAACTCACCACAACCTCCCTAAAGGGCCCGTTTCCAGGCGTACCGCTAAGATTGTTTGCAGCAATGTACTCATTCGGAGGATTTGAATACCAAAACTCATCATTCTCATGAAATGAAACATACACCTCCAACACAGCCCTATAAGCATTCTGCGGCATCTTAAATTCCTTCAACTGTGTATCGGTCGAATTCTGGATTTCAAACCACAACCCATCATTCAAAGGCAGATTTCTCGAAATGGGCAAGATCAAATCAGCCCAAGAATGGTACCCAGAATCCAAATTTACCAAATTTTTCTCACAGTTATAATTCAAATTCTTCTCAGCAGGGTAAAAATGGATGCTAATATTCACATGATATATCCCAGTATATCTTTCATTTACCAAATTCCCAAGATAAACAGCTAGTGTTTGATTGTTCTGAAGCAAAGAATAGTACCTTGTGATGTCCTTCTTGACACTCCAAACAATCCCATTCTGCGTTGGCTCAGCGGTGCAGCCCCTGAGAAGCTCAACGCCGCCGAGCCAAACCCCGAAAATCCGATCAAATTGCGTCCCTCTGCAGGTGGCTTTCCAGTTGAGGACAATTTTGGAAAATGAATGAGATGGGCAGTAGGAGGGAGGGGTGTAGTTAGCAAAGACTGGAGGTTTGCCGTATGTGTACCCGAAGTCGTGCTGGAGAACGTGCTGGGTGCAGGGCTTGGTTTTGGGGAGTTCGATGGGTTTGGTTACTTCGAAGTAGAGAGTTGGTGCGGCAGCGTTTTGAGGGCTGTGTTGGGAGAGGAGCTCAGATCGGAGAAGGTTGATTTTGTGGACATTGGCGGCAGAAAAGAGTGGTTGGTTGAGGAGGAGGAGGGGGAGGAGGAGGAGGAGGAGGGCCAACGGAGAGGCCATGAGTGACTCACCGGTGGTTGAGCTGTCTGTTGTTTTGGCGGGTTTTACTTCGTTTTGGCGCTATTATTTATTTGTATTTATTTGTTTATATTTTATAAAGTTTCTTGGAGTAGAAAACAATGGTGAGTTGGTGATTCTATAAACTGAATTAAATAATTTCTTAAATGTAATATTTAAATTCCATCTAAAAAAAATAAGCGCGGAATTAGAATCCTCGACTCTGATTCGATTCGTTTGAAAATCATCCGTTTTTAATTGAAAAATCAAATTTAATTTTTCATTTACATAAAGTCTTCAGAATTAGTAAGTACTTAGAGCGTTGCTACCAATATATTTAAGTCACACTAGTGTAGCAGTAATGTTATTGAAATCAAATTTATGATGCGTGATTTTTATATATAAATATCATACTCACAATATGGTAATTTTCATATGGGGTAAAAATAAAAAAACATTATGTAAATGTAACTTGAAACATAAATATAATGGAGAAACAAAAAGTGCAAAACAATTGAAGGCGATTTGATTGATGAGATGATAGCTCCACCAGAAGCAAGTACCTAAAGTGGTGGATTCAAGATTTCAATATTGGGTGGTCCTAATTGTAAAAGTTTCAAAAAAAACTTAACGAAAATAACATTGAATTTTTTTCAACAAACTACTATTTGATGTTAGAGAGAAACATTCCAAGATTAGATTGTTTGATCTAATCAAAATAAGAAATCATATGGACTAACAAAGACATAATATATATATATATATATATATATATATATTAGAAATTTTTATTTGCACTCTACAAATATCATTTTATATTTCAAACTATCTAAAATGAGAAAGAAATCTACATTTACAAGAAGTGCAAAATGTGATTTTTAAAGTATAGATAAAAGTTCTCTATAAATTTACCAACAATGATCAAATTGTTATAAAAAAAAAAAAAAATCATACACTACATCACAATAATCATATGAATATTTTCATCTAATACACATAAGCCCAAAATCATAAAATTTATTTGAAATTCAATATTGTAATGAGGTGATGATGGAAAGATAGAGGTGGAATAATTGTGGTGGGGTTCCGGGGTAAGGTTTGTATTGGATGGGTGGATTTGGGGCTTTGTGCTAATTAAAAGAGGGAATTGCATGAGAAGTGGATGGGCCTCGGGTTTGTAGACGAAAAAGAGTTTAAATTTTTTGAATGGCCTGGCTCAAAACGGCACCGTCTAGGCCAGGTCATTAAAAACAATATTAAACCTTCTTCTTCTTTGCTAAATTCTGTTGGGTGTTGTGCTGCAAATTCATGGAGTTCCAAAACCAGCACGGGACCGGGTAGTCGAGTGGTCCTCAACGATCTTCACATATGCTTCTCCGATCTTCCGGAGGGTCTTGGGACCACCCAGGTCCTGTAATGGATCCGCCCACCCAACCCAATAAACATAAGTTTAAAAAACCACAAGTTGGTGATCTAGTGGTAAAGGACGGATTATGATGTTTTTTTAAAACAAAAAATTAAAGGTCTTGGGTTCGAAACTCGCTGCAGGTGTAGAAACCAGACTTGTGGCCAGGGACGCTGAAATGCTTCTATAAGTCTTCCCGGCTCTCGAAAGGGGTGGATAAACCATAATTTACCACCAGTTGTCCCCCTTATATATATATAACCAAGAACAAAAGTTTAAAACAATATGACAGACCAAACCAAATTGCACTCAAAATTGTAAGGGTAGTTCATCTACATTTTCAGTCTTAAGGTTCGGCAGGCTTGAACGAGCTGGAGAACGAACTGGGAAAATACTGCCAAAACCGTGTCACGTTTCTCTAATTCTATGTTTGGACGAAGGACTTTCAAGGTGTCGTTTTAAAAAGTTCTCTCTTATGTAGTGCATTCCTAAATAATTTAGCCTATGCCCATGAAACTTTCAAGTCAGACGTTCTAAAAACCATTGAAAACTCTCACAATGACTAAGGAGTTGAGTTATAAAAGCTTTGAAGTTGGTATAAAATTTCTAAATTTTTGAGCAGTGCAAGAAACATCATATTTTTCATAAAAAG